AATCCAGAACGTGCCAGGGAATTACTCACCTGGATTCGAGATGCAATTAAGGCTAAAAAGTTACGTGATCCTGTCTTTACTGAAAGTGAAACACGTAATGCTTGGCCATTTAACGAATTTTTAAAACAAGAATCTTATAGAACTATACTTAAAAAATTAAGAGATTATGGAAGTAAACACGCTTCCAGAATTCATGGTGGTAAGAATCTAACTCTCCAGCATCTTAAACTACTTTTGAGAATTGCATTAAGGCAAAAATCTGATCGCCTTGATGCGGGAAATAATTATGCTATGGGTGATACTGAGTCAGAAGACGATGGTCCTGAATCTGACCATGAATCTGACCATGAATCTGATCATGAATCTGAATCTGTTCCTGAGGCAAAGGGTTTAAAACCCCAACCTGACCCTCAAAAGTCTCAGACAATAGAAATTGATTCTATGTTAGCTGAAATTGATGCAATGTTAGCTGAAATTTGGAAATAAATTCCTCACTTATAGCTTTGGTACTGCGGGAGATAAGCCAGTGTTTAGTGAAATATTTTTTAGAGTTGATATATAAAAATAATTGGAAAGCTTTTCTTCTTCGATCAAAGATCTTTAGAAGGGATTGCCATATTTGTTTCAGGAGCTTTCATGTTTTGTAACGATCGTAGCCTTAACTGGGCGTATAGTAGTCTTTTTTTGTGACATATGTTTGAAAAGGGTCATAACATAAAGATAAGGTAAGATAGTCTTTTTATCTGCTATGGTAAGATCGAACAATACTAATTAATTAGTATTATATATATCTTTTCATCATTGATCCTGATTTATTCGTGATCTTCATTCTGTGATGCTCATTTCTGAGATGTCCATTTCCAAGATGCTCATTTCACTTAATCCAAATATCCATATCGAGAATTATTCAATAGCATTATTTGACGATCTAGCTAGTCTAGAGCGGTGATTATCTATCTGGAAGATTTATTTTTTTATATTAAATACACCTAAACTACAAGAGGAATATTCGACTAGGATGGTACTTGATATAGAACCCAAACAAGAGCTTAACGATCTTTAAGAATCACTTGTCAACTTAGGACAAGACTTATGAAAAACTTACACAAATCTTGGATCGATTGTGTAATACTGCGAAGTAAGATTAATGATAAAAGTTATCAAAGATCTGTCATAGAATTAGAATGGGATATGAGATACATGTGCGAAAGACTTGGATTAATGATAACCATGTATGGTCTTAAAAAGAAGATTGATTATAAATTGGAGGATTCTGAATTAGAAACTAACTTTACTATCACTGAATTTATTCCACGAAGTATTAAATATAGGGGTCAGGAACCATTATCTTCTCATTTGACATTTGAAACTTCACGAGGCTTATTACACCGTAGATTACGTAAAAAAGATTTCCCAGAAGAGATTGACTAGTCCGGAGCAGTGATCACCAGATAGTTGTGTGATATATTAATTTTCACATATCAAAAAGAAGTTATATGCTAACCAATACTTCTATTTTTTATTGATCTACAATATTAGCAAAATGTTTGATGAGGATATAGATGCTGAGAAGAAGAAAGCTTTCGATGAATTTACCAAAGAATATGAAGAGAGAGAAGAGGATTGGACTATTTATGATAATGATTGGCATGACTGGAATGACCTTTTTTGTAAAATTAAAACCTATTAAAACACAAAGGCGATCAAGTATTGGAGAGAGAAAATACTTAAGCGATTTGTATATAGTCTACCCAATATAAGTAATCCAACGTTATTATTCCACGTATTCTTACAATCCAATATTATTTATCTCCCACAAATAATAAGTCTAATAGAATTGCTATATTATCCACTTGAACTTCGATCAGAGATATGAGGTCCCTTCAGGACCTGACCAGATGGTATTTACTATACAAGTGGCATTGGAATATTAGATTAATCTTATGAAGTCAGCCGTCAAAGAAAATCCTGAGTTACTTCAAAATAACGTGAAAAGGATAATAGGTATAATTGTTGGGCTGTTAAAGAATAGGATTAGTGTAGATAGTTCCCCAACTAGTAAGAGGATTAAGATCAAAAAATTATCAAAAAATAATATGTATTACAGGCTACGTTCCGAATCTTGTATTTATTTGTATGTATTAATAAAAAATTTTTACTTGGTAAAAACTGTTAACTTGATTAACGATCAGCTGAAATAATCTACATATTTTTATTTTGAATGTTTACTGTATTAGTTATACATATAGATCATGTCATCCGAGCTTGAAGTATTGAGACAGCATATCATTGATCTAGAGGCTGAGAACTCTAAGATTAAAGCTGAGAAAGCCGAACTTGAAGCTAGGGATGCTAAGCATCTAAAGCAGGTTATGGATGACAATGCTAAGCTTAAGGCCAGAATCAAGGAGCTAGAAAAAAATAATGGAGTTACCACTAAACTCGAATCTGAGAGCGCTGAGCTTAAAGCTAAAGTTGCGAAACTGGAAGAGGATTACAGGCTGATGCAAAACAATAATGCTATCATGGTAACTGGACCTTCTAACAATAGTTCACCTAACTTCAATTCTGATACGTTATTACCCAAAGAACTGATACCAGAAGTTTCACCTGCCAG